CCCCAAAACCCCAAAACCCCGCAATAAGTGAATATGCAACTAATTAATTGAATTAATAATTGATATTATTAAAATAATAATTAACTCAGAAAATGTATGGAATGGAGCAAATTAACACTGCAACAGGATTTGCGAATGCCAAGTTCGGTTCGTCTAAAGGCTAAGGAGCGAAAGGCTTTGATGAACCTGAAATCAGAATCTTAGAACTTAGCAAGTATGTAATTAAGTTCGAGCTATTGAATACAGACCTCTCAGTAGCAAACTCACTTAGAAGAATTATAATTGCGGAAGTTCCCACTATGGCTATTGATTTAGTTGAGGTCAAGGAAAACACTTCTGCATTGCACGATGAGTTTATAGCTCACAGACTAGGATTAATCCCTCTTCAGAGTTTCAATGTTGATCAATTCAATTTAAGTGATTAGTGCGCTTGTAGTTCAATGTGTGCATAATGCTCTGTGCAATTCAAGCTTCATGCAGTTTGCTCAGACAGAGACTAGATGGAAGTCAATACTCGTCATATCTAGCCCTTATCAGATGCTCCTATCATCCCTGTTTAATATGTTAATGACAAAGGAATTGAAGAGGACCCTATTCTAATAATGAAACTGAGTAAAAATCAATAGCTCGATATGAATCTCGTTGCTAGAAAAGGCAATGGTAAAATTCATGCTAAATGGTCTCCAGTTGCAACATGCCAAATGAGAAAAGAACCAATCGTTGAGATTGACTAGGATAAGATCAATAGAGATCTTGATATCGAAAAGAGAAAGGAATTTGTAGCACTCTGTCCCAGAGAAGTCTTTGCTTTCAATGATTATAGAAATGCAGTAGAAATTGAGAATTCAGATAAATGTATTCAATGCATCGAATGTCTGAGATTCGCACAAGCCAATAATCTTGAGAGAGCTGTCAAGATTGCTGAAAGAGAGGATAAATTTGTATTCACTGTTGAATCAACTGGAGTTCTTACCCCAGAAGATATTGTGAGCAGAGCTTTACAAATTCTCATGAGAAAACTATATGAATTGGGCACCCAGATGAAAAAATATGGAGTCAATGCTGATTGAAGTAATTAATTTTTAGATTTACAATATAATAAATAAGCTTAGAAATAACTCATTTTTAAATCATTTTCTTTCCCGAGTTTATGTAATTTACCGGTGCGAATAAGTTATTCATATATGCTCTTTTAATATGCTTATCAAGTGCCCATAGCATCAATGTTGCCATTTCTTTCCATCTAATGTCCACATTTTTAGCATCCATGATACAAGCAATTGCACTAAAATCCATATAGCTAAAGTCACAGCACAGACACGGTCCTGCAGTAGGCGTAATACCAGTCTTTACGCCTTGAAAGTATGAGTTTAATAGTTTGTTTGAATTAGTCCACTGATAATTAACTGGATCTCCAAATTTAGATATCACGATGCATTCATATTACTTTCTTCCGACTATTTCTTTAAAAAGATCATATTTCATTGCATTTGCTGTAATAATACATATATCTGAAGGACTAGCATGATTTGCTTTTTCAGATAAACCATGGGGATTCGAAAAATTAGGTTTATCTAGTTTCAGCTTTTTCGCTTGCTTATTCATTTCTTACACAAAGGCTTGAATGTACTCATCGTGCCCATATTCAAAGCTTACTAAAGGAACCCCTTAGTTTTAATTCAATTCGGATACTTATGGCACAGGATTACCATTGATTTATTTTTTCTGTTTTTCATTAGCAAAATAGAGCCATTTCCCAAAGGCTGTTGCTAAAACGATAGCAGCATCATTGCCAGATGGTAAGAGTAAAGCGTGTAGACAGTCATACACATTTATTCTTTAATCTACTTTTAAAAAAGCTGTAGTACCTGTCATAAAGGCTGCTTTCTTTGATACTCTTAAATATACATTTCTTGGATTGTTTATGTTAAGTTCATTTAATAGTCTGCAAATAGTATAAGCAGTCATTATTTTCGTTAAGCTAGCCATTTCTCTTTAAAATGTTTAATCTTTTCCATGCATGATAACACCTTTCTTCGTTTCAGATATAGCCCAAGCCTTTGCTGAGACTATTGGAAATTAATCTTGTTGGGCTTAATCAATGATGGTATCAACTTCAAATGGGTCAAATATCTTTATATCTTGTATCATAGATCTGTATAGTGATCCTAAATCCTTACTTTTGGAAGCATTATTGCTTTATTTAGAAGATTAACTCTAAGTGTCAAATGTTTTTTCACTCATAGAGGGCTACCTCTGATATACTGGAATATTTTATTAATAGATATTTCTGATTTTCCTGTTTTTCTTTTTTAATAAGGTTTAAAAGCAATATCTATGAAACTCTTGAGCATGATTATTGTTAGTAACCTATCTAAGAGTCTCTGTGAAATCCTCTGGTATTCTTTTCTGAGCATTTAATATCTAACTTTTAAGTAACTGAGTGTTTTATTCTTTGGGCTTATATGAATCATTATCAAAGCTCAAGACATTAACATCATTAATATTGTTCGTTAGCTTATCAAATGATATAGAACTTGAATCTTTGTTGAGACTTTCTTTTGAATTCTCATTGATGTTATCAATCAATTCAATCTCTAGCTTTTCTGCTGCTCCAAACAAATTTACTTCATCTTTGGATTATTAAATACGAGAGGTATTCATTATTTGAAAGCTGCTTGATAGAATTTTACTAGGCGAGCTATGGTCGGGCCTATGTCTAGTTTAATTAGTCATTGGCAGTCTTGTAAGTGTGTTTTATTTCATAGGACTAGGGAGACCAGGGCTATTACTTTTGAAGGAGTGACTATCATGAGGATTAACTGAATTTCTTTTGGAAAGTTGACTTATAAATGATTTATGTATTGAGGAAGCATTGATCTGCTTTTCTCTTGTTTCAGAAGAGTTATTCATCTAATTAAGCTTGATTTATTCAAATGCTGGAGAGCTGATTTTCTTTGTTTTAGAAAGTGGACTCATGCTTGATTCACTAGTTGTTACAATTTGTTTTCTATTAACAGGAGGGAGAGTTGAGGAGCAATTTATTTGTGAATGCATTTTCTTTGGACTGTTTATCAGCCTTCCAGATACATTTTGATAGATTTCACTTGGCATGTACTTTGTATTATCTGTACTGCTTTATGCATGAGGTTTCAGCTGAAGTTTAAGAATCTCAGTCTTATCATTCTAACCTCTAGATGAAGGTCCATTAATTTAGGATTTGTCTTAAGCTTGAGATTAATGATGCTGATGAATCTGCAAGGCTGCATGAAAGCTTGAGACTGAAAGACTTTTCATTAATTATGAAGAGTTAGATGAGCTTCTGGACATATTGGGTTAATGGTTCTAGATAAATTATATTTAGTCTTTAAAAAGCTTCATGTTGGATTGCTTTGAATTCTAAATGCTACTAATGATTGATCTTATAGATTTTTTCTCTGAATTCGGCATTGCCTTATATATTTCACTTGGTTCACAATTTGGAGCAGAATTAAGAGGATTATCAATCTTTTTTGATTTCTGACTATCTGGCTATGGTGGAGTTTTATTTGTATTCCCGCTTGATACTTTATAGTATATCTCTTATGGATTAACTTATAGTTTTGATGTTTGACTTTTCTATGTTTAACTGAAGGCATTTGAATTAGAGTGGAGAGGTGGAGAAAATGAATACTATTTATTTACATTGATCTACTAATGTTAGATCTTTTTAGTAACATTTTAAGCAGGCATTTTAACTTAATTTTTTTTGATAATTTTGAGTTCTTGGTGAGGGATCTGCGTTTTTAGTACCTGAAACAAATTTGTTTATTCTTAATCTATTATCTTCAGATCTTAATCATAGTAATTTTGTAAATTTTAGGCATCCGGATTAGATGATTTCAAAAGGGCGTGTGACAATTGGATAGTATTCTCAGTTTTAGTTTTGTCTTCGAAGCCATCATCAAATTTGATAGTTTGAACCTTTTCTTCACTATTTTCAAAGTTTTATTGATTTGAATTCAATTTACCTGTTAAGTTATTAAGATGGAGGCTTGTAAATAATTTTTGTAATGCTCTCAGAAATTTCTTGCATTGGAGAAGGTGCTGAAAACTAATTAAGGACTTAAAACCCTTTAGTATAATTACTCATTAAATAAAATAGAACTTATATATCTATAATTGATTGAAACTTTTTTAATATTCGTGTAATTATTAACATTTAATTCATTAATACTATCTATAATTAATCACAATGGGGTTTTGGGGTTTTGGGG